TCCGGATACATTGGAAGGACATCCCAAGTACTTTAATGTACGGAATTTTCAGGAGTTAGGACCTTTATGGTAACTTTCACACTCCAGATTGCATCGCTTTTGGTGCGTTTTTTTTTTGTAAAAAATTTGTCAAATTTCCAAAAGTTTGAACATTTTTTTTTGTTCGATACCAAATGGGAGAATAAGTGGACTCAACGCGCAATACTAGGAAATTCCTACTGGTGGCGCTGCTGAGGACAGTGTCTTTTGTCAGCTCAGCAGCGCCATCAACAGCCTCCCTCATGGGACTGCAATTTCCTTGGGTCAACCGGGTGTCTGGGAGACGCAGAAACCCATCACCAGGGATAAGAGTCTCCAAACCCAACTCCTGAGAATTACACGTATATCTGTTTTCCATTTGTCCGTTATGAGCTTTCCAATTAAAGTTCCAAGTATTGCTAACTGCAAATTACGCGCAAATGTATTAATAAACTGTAAATTGAAGCGCTCTGAGATCCTGCCCCGCCTTGAAGGCCGTTATGTAAATGCAACTTGTTGTTGTTGTAAATGCAGATCCACGGTGTACAGAACTTTCTGCGTTTGTTGTGAATAGCTTTTGATGTGAGCAATGGCCGTTTGCCGAAGGTATTATGGGATCTCTGACGTCCGCCTGAGGAACAGGCAGACGGGTCTCATCCAACAATGCAGTGTCCCTCAATGCTGCACTGGGGTTTCCAGTCTAGACTGTGAACACAAATCCTCAAGTGGGGGCTTAAATCAATTGCCTTCTGTTGCTGAGGCTGTACTGACAAGTAATTTGATGTACGCAGAGAAGGGGGAACATTGGTTGGGCTGCCCTTTGTACAATAGAAACTGTCACAGTTTCACAGCTAACCTGCCCTGTAGTATGCAGCCTTTGCATCATGTGCTGAGGCACCAAGCTGGGACAGTGATTGGGTTTTACATAACTGGGTTTTGGGTTGGCCTAGGATCTCCTCAGGGAGGCAATTTGAATATGAAGTCACAAATCCCTAGTAACAGATTGGCATCCACAGAGGAAAATGATGCTTAATACACAACATAATTTATTTCCCTTCAGATTAAAGTGCATTTAAGGCAAAAGAGCCAACCAGCATCTGTCCCATCACTGAGCCAATGCCATTACATCAGCAACCTAACTCCAGCATTCCGAGCCAGTGATCAATCTTGGCATTTTGCTCGACAGTCAACTTTCCTGTAAGCCCTACATTAGGTTCTTAACCAAGATCGCATTCCTCCACTCACCTAATATCTAATGCTCAACTAGCTCCGGCCTCCTGCATGTCCCTCCGCGCCCTCTGTTCCACCAACAGTGGTCGTGCTTTTAGCCATTACACTCCAAACCTCTGGAACACTCTTCCTCTATCCCTCCACCTTGTCCCCTCCTTACCCATCTTCAAGTCCTGCCTGAAGACCTTCCTCTTCGACCGTGCCTACGGTCACCTCACCCTCCCCCTCAGCCAGAAGTTTGTTCCTTTCAGAAGTAGAGTTTTGCATCCCTTAACTGTTCAAAGATGCTTAAAGGGCTTAGTTTCAAGACCTGTCCTATCAACTCAGACCTGCAAAGGCATTTGGGAAATCCTCAGTGTGAGATTAGCTGTGTGTTATTAAGATTAAAATAAACAAAGCAAATCTGCGAATCGCTTGCAAAGTGAGCTGTGAGCAGACAGCTGGGGGATGAGATGTCCTCGGTTAATAGTGACAGAAATCAGTAACAAAAAAAAACCTTTAGGATTCTTCTTCTTGCAGCTGTGTAAAGCGCTGATCAGATCTGGCCAAGAGTATTATGTTCTTTGGTTTGTGTACCTCACCGTATGAAAAATATAAAGTCTCAGAGTAGGTCCAGTGAGCATTCATCAAAATGACACTTAGGATAAAAGGACTTGACTCTAATGCGAAACTTGGTAAATACATAAGAATTTAGTCCTGGGAGTTGAGGAAATCTTTAAAACAATAGATAATTGATAGGTAAATAGGGCACATCTCGTCCCTCCACTAGGAAATTTAGAACATGGGGTCATTAGTTTAAAATTAAAGTTCCGACAGAAAATATTAGCATGACGTACCGTTATTTAATTCATTTTAAACCTTGATAGTATCCTGCATTATGAGTTAACCCATTACATGGTTTCCTCAATGAGTGCACAATGTTTTCAGGTGAACCGTGACATTACTATAGATCAAATCTATGATAAGCTTGCATTTGATATCACACCTTGCACTGTGGGTGGATGTCTCAAAGAGCTTCATAGGATATACTGACATTACACGAATAAGGTGACTTTTTTCTATTTTTTAGTTGAACAAGGCACCCAATTTGCACACAGCGATATTCTACAAAGAGCTATGACCAATTTTATCAGGGCAATTGTTAGCCAGGACACCGGAGCAGACTTCCTTTTTCTTTTTAAATAGTGCCACGGAATCTTTAACTTTCACCTGAACAGGTTTAACATCTCATCGGAAGGACGGATTCCCCGTTAGACACCTGGTGCCTGGTCCCTCACGGAGATAAATGCGGTGTCCAACCTGTTTGGATCTTATAGAGCATAAATCTGATCTACACATACAATGTACAAATCTCTGCTTCGAAACTACCTCTAATTATCCCCACAGTACATTTCCATTTCGAATATCTATTTATGGTCGTTTTTGAGTAAGAAGCACAATTAGGGCTAAAATTATGGCCAATTTTAAGCTATTAGTTGGCATCTGCTGAGAACTAGATTGCTCCTAACAACACTGACCTTTCCTTTCTTGTTGCTAAGAATAATATTCCTTTCCTTTCTTTCAATTAAGCTATGTTTCGCCTGCAAATATGCAGTCAATTTACTTTACAGTATATTCTGTGAAGCACTTTTAAAACGTGAAAAGCGCTTTATCAAATGTGAGGATTATTACTATTATTATATTATATTATATATTGTATGTACATATACATGTCTCCTTTCACTATTCTCTTAAATACTTTATTTTTTGCCAGCATTCATTGACTGCCCAAAAGTGCCTCCTGATGTGCAAATGAGCTTACGAAATGTGAAGGACTTGGATATATAACTGAGTTGGCGAATTCCTTTTCACTGTGCAGGCAGTTAAGTGCACTGTATTGAGCCTTATTGTCCCTAAAATCAGCCAGGGATTCTGATCATTTCTGGACAGTGGACATGTGTGAACCTTCGGTGAGGACTGCATCAGGCTTGACTGTGATTGGCACCTGTGGTCTGCATTATCTCAATGACACGAGCTAGTATGACTGCCTGGCACAGTGGGTATCGCTCTCGCCTCTGAGTCAGAAGGTTGTGGGTTCAAACCCCACATTCAGACTTGGAATCACACAGTCTAAGCTGCTACTCCAAATGCAGTGCTGAGGGCAGTGCTGCATTGTTGGAGGTGCCGTCCTTCAGATGAGACGTTAAACCGAGGTCCCGCAGATCATTGGTGCATATAACTCACTTGGAGAGAATTCGTTTGTGGATTCTTGCGGGCAAAACATTTCCAAGAATCCGTCAATGGAATGGCATACAAATTAGAGAGCTCACCTACTGCAATGCAGAGAATGCGGAAGCCAGGAGAAGCTATGAGTTTTTAGATTAACAAAATGTAATTCTGGAGGTGACATTATCCTTTAATGGTATTGATTACAGTTAGATTCATGACAAATCAATAGGTAGTTAATTAAACTAAATGTGATGGATTTGGGAGTTGCAAAACACTGGTGCTGTTTGGGAATACTGTAATCAATTATGGATTCAGCTTGTGTGCGAAACGTGCTGTGTATTGAGACATGCTATGTCATCTCTCAGAGGCCCTCAAATCAGTGCAACTCAATGACTGGTCTACATAATTCACAGACATGTACATTAATGAGAACCACTGATGCCCTAAACTCAAAATGTCTTCTCTGGCATTGACTGCAATTGGCTGTGACAGTAAGAAAACCACCTGCCTATGCATACCTCAGATTATAATAAGGTTGTGATTTTGAGGAGCTGATGAGGATCAGGCCGTGAATTTGAAGAGTGGGAATGCAACCAGTTTGTGATTGTGGAGATCTGATTACAATCTGGTTGTGATTTTAAAGAGCTGATTACAGTCCAGCTGGAATTGTGTGGAACTGTTTCCAACAACATGACAGTTCACAAGAAGACAATTGTCTTGACCCCACCACACCGTGTAGTGGATTTATGAACACTCCCAGATTCTATTTGACTGATAAATTGTCCAGGCTTTCTGTTTGGGGTGGGGAGGGAGGAGTTGTTGGATGAGGAAGTACTCTAGATGGGAAGACCCCTTTGTATGAGGCAGAAGGAACAGGTCAATCCCAATGCTCTTGCCCACAACCAGAAACCAGTTTGCTTCTAGAGGGAGGTATTTGTTTTTCATAGGAGCTTGGTCAAACCCTGACGTCACAGCCTGGTTACCATTCCCTGAGCGCAGCAGAGCCAGCAGTTTTGCTGCTGTTGGCAAGTCAGAACCAGAGAGAGAGAGGATGATAGCAACTTGAATCAGATCCAAGTACCAAATCTAATCATTTCAAACAAGTCGTTTCAGAATCAAATCGGTTCAATTTAACAATACATTAAGGCAGACAGACAGATAGACTGATAGTGTTGAGTAACACACACTTGAGGTCAACCCTGTGACAGGAGGGAGCATGTTAGCATTGTGAAGGGGAGAAGCAAATGCCATTCCTGTCGTCTTTCATAGTCTGACTGAACACCCTGGGTGTTCTAATGCTAGAATAAAGAGAGCGTTGTCAAGGTAATAGAAAGTACTGAATGATATTAATATTCACGGATATGTCAGCAACGCATTTTACTGTTACCTCTAGGATTTAATTCTATTCATACGAGGAACTGCTTCTCAATGAAAGCAGTATTTTGTACATCAGGGCGGAATTGGAATTTATGGAGCTGTGCAGTATTTCCAGGGATTTCCTTCCCTGTGGATCTTTCTTGACTATGCCTACACTTCTTTTTCAGGGACTTCCTTCCCCGTGGATCTGGAATTGTCACCAGGCGACCACTTGTGCTTCAATTGATCAATTCCTCAACAGGTACGCTACAATCTCCCAGCATTAACAGTACAGAGTTTACACCACCACAGCGAGTTTGGAGAGTTCAATCCCATTTTCCACTTTCTTGCAATTCCTATGCATGTGCATGGCGGGGGGGAGAGACAACCCAAAGTGCTTCACATGATTTCACTGTAAAGTCTAGTGACTGTTCTTTTTCAGGCCCATGTGGCAGCCATTTTGCTCACAACAATCTCCTTAAAAACAGCTATGAAGTGAATGACCAATTTTATCTGTTGGCCAGGACACAGGGGAGAAATTCCCTCCCTCTCATGTGCTTTGGCCAGCACTCAACCTCCCACTAACTCTTTCCCAAGCAAACCAGCTAAAAAACCCTGCCCGTCCCACAGCTCTTTAAAAGCAACCCTGGACCGATTCCAGCAGCGACATAGCTTTACTGTTTTTATAAGCAGTCACTGCAGCAAATTGACAGGAGCTTTTGGTTGCAGAGAACGGTTTTAATCCTGGTTATAAAAATGAGACCTTTCTTTCTGTTTTGAATTTGTGTTTATTGATTTTGGCACTGACTGCTTTGTTACACTGAGCAACCTTTATACAGTGCTGCAGGAGCTAGGAAAGCCAGGCTGGAGAATACAGTGGCAAAGGTCTAAGGCAATTGGTACCGGAAGCTGGACAACTGTGGCAGTTTGTCTGTCGAGGAGAAATGAAGACCGAATTACAGACATCTACTTTGCGAACCCCTTTGTAACTGATGAAGCTCATTGATTGATGCAGAGAAGGGTTCAGAGATGGGAGTGTGACTGAGCAGCACATGGCTTAAGGAAACGGCACATTGACCAGCACTCGCTTTATATCAGCCCCGAAATGGAAATTTCCCCATCCTCTTCCCCACACTTAGACATGGTTACGTGGTTAGTTACCGAGTAGGTCTCCCTTTAATCTTCCCCCACCCCCACCCACTATGTTTGACCTCAGCTTTATCACCGGGACATTTCCACTTCCATGTCATCTTGTCTCTGATCAATACTATTAATCAGTGTTGACCTAGGACCGGGTTTTGCACATGCTCAGTGAGAGGAATGCTGCATGAACATGAACATAAAATGATTAATAACAAGCAGTGGAAATGTCTTCCCTTCTCTCTCAACCCAGATGCACCAAAAAAAAAAGTAGCAAGAGTATCAGTCACCTAAGACAACAGAGAGGCCTTTTCCTGTCCAGAGACACTAGCCTTTTGTACGTGGCACTGCTCAGAAGAAGTGAGAACTGTATAGCCATGAACAGCTGGGCTGTCGGGCTTTTAGACCAGGGCTTCATGAAGACAGGCTTCTCAACAGCCATTTTATTCTGTCAATGGAACGATTTGCCGGGATGCTCCAGTCAGATAGCAGGCCCCTCACTGTTTATTGATGAGAATGACTGGAGCTGTACTCTTCGCGAAAGACTGGAAAGATTTCTTATCCTCCTCAAGCGCAGACACCTGGGGAGGGTGGTACCAAGACCACAGCTATTTTGAGTCCCTGACTGCCTCTGTGTCTTCCACGGACTACTGTATCGCTATTGCTTGGTTGATTCTTTCCCGGAATGGGGAAGAGCTCAGCTGCACACTGCAACAGTCTCCTGTTGAAGGTACTTGGCCTCAATAACAGGCTGACCCTTCAGACACGCAAAATGCAGCAAAAGGCCGTCTTTAAAGTGAGAGTTTAATTTAGAGATGTGAGTCAGAACATATTCAGTTATTATAAACCTACTAAATAATTCCCTTAATCACCACCCCTCCCTCCCCCCAAAAAAATGTGGGTACTCTGCAGCATTTTGTTCGTTATTAACTGGTAATTTACTCCACACCTCTCCTCAAAGCAAATTGATGGATGCCTTTTTACATTCTCACTAGGGCTTGGTTCTACAGGTGTCCTCTGGTAGCTTGTCCAAGTGACTATTGTGGAAACTATGCAGGAGTTTTGAAGCATATTTGTTAGGGCACTTTTCTCGCAAGCGAGAGGAACTGGTTTTGATTCCTAAGTGGAACTGGAGGGGAGGGACTAGTTGCAGATCATTTCGAACTGACCAATCTTCTATTGTAAGACATTCCTTTTTTCCCGTACTATTTCATTGTTGAATGCACGTTTGACTTTTTTTGCCATCTCCAGAACATGCGGAGTTCCTGCACCTCAAAGGGAAGAAGTTCATGGACTTCGATGAAATCCGCCAGGAGATCGAGGCGGAAACAGACAGAGTCACGGGCGGCAACAAGGGAATATCGTCCATTCCGATTAATTTGCGAGTCTATTCCCCAAACGGTAAGCATACCTGGTATAGGTATCACAGAGTTACGACTGTTTAATGCCCCATTCCAGTGATTCACTGTAGCAGAAAAGTTCCCTTGAACTGCTGCATAATATTAAGTTTGACTCTTTTCTTCACTGATCGATGAGATCTCTTTCGCGCCATCTGTAAACCAGAGGGTATTAGAGGTGGTTTGTAATTAATTAGTGGAAAGGATTAGTTGATGGTCTTAGCATCTGTAATTCCTTTTACTGGCTCATTTATGCTTAACTGAAGAATTCTTTCATTCAATATGGTGTCTATATCATCAAAGTCTCAAAACGCTTCATAGGGTAACAAGTGTAGTGATTATGTATTTGTAGGGAAATACACAGCTAATGTTTACACATCGAGGACCCACAGCAATGAATTGAACGATCAATTTATTCAGAGGATTGTTGGCCAGGATATCGAGAGTAACACCTTTCTCTTTTCAAACCTTTAATGTCCACCAGAATTGATTGATATATTAACATCTCATTCGAGGGATGGCACCTCTGACAGTGCAGTGCTTCCCCAGTACTGCACTAATGTCACCCTTGACCATGAGCTCAAGAAAGGATATGGATTTTGAATGCATATCTTTCTGACCCAGAGGTTGCTAACAACTGAGCAAAGCTGACACTAACATATTACATGTAGTTATCTTGTGTAGGCCTCTCTTTAATAATGTAACATCACCATGTAACATTTCTCTGATTAATCAAGAGACCATTTGGATCTCTCTGGAGCAGAATTATGTGATATTGTGATAATAATCCTAGCTTTTGATATAGCGCCTTATCGTATCTTTGAAACGTCTCAAAGTGCTTCACAGAATATACTGTAAAGTATACATCAAAAAAATTGATGTGCGTTACCTGATGTTCTTTCCTCAGTCCTTAACCTGACGCTGATCGACCTCCCTGGGATGACCAAGGTCCCAGTTGGGGACCAGCCAGTTGACATCGAGTTCCAGATCCGAGAAATGCTCATGCAGTTCGTCACCAAGGACAACTGTCTGGTTCTGGCGGTCTCACCGGCCAACTCTGACCTGGCCAACTCCGATGCCCTGAAGATTGCCAAAGAAGTGGATCCTCAAGGTACCTGCCATCGTTTTCTTCCAATAGAAATGTTCACCTCAAGGGAGGGAGCTTGATTTATATTTAAAAAAAACGAGTTATTATGGCAGAAAGTTTGAAAACTTGGATTAAAGGTAAAGTAGAATGTGGCTCGGGTTCTGTTTTTTACACATTGTCCATACGCGCTTCTCTAGAGGAGATTGTTGGATAGACATCAGCAATGGGTTACCTGACTCAGGTGTAGCATGAGTTCAATGCAGGGCAAGCACCCCCCTACCCCCCCCCCCACCCTCCACTATACACTATCCCCAGCAACATAAGCGCTCTGGGTTGCCATACCCGTGTGAAGGGTGCTAGGTAAATGCAAGTTGTTGTAACTCAAACCTCAGAAGTTCTTTCCTCTACTGCACTGACTTTCTCTGTAAAGTGAGCGAGAATCAACGATGGCTGTCAATTGATGCCAACTCGTGGTTTGGGCTGTGAATAAGCAGTTTGTTTCCCTTGGATTGTGCAAAAAAAAATTGTGTGAACACACCCTGTTTGGATAACTTTTCACCTAAATAGCAGGCCTGGTGAATAATCCCATTGAAATGTCTCAAAGTGCTTCAGAATTTTCTGTTAAGGGCATTGACAGTGTATTTTTAGGCAAATGTGACAGGCAATTTGCACACATTGGCCATTTCTGTTTATTAAAACGACCATTGAACAGGACACAGGGAGAAACAACCTCTTTTTGAATAATACGATTGGGTTTAATATTGTATTAACCCAGGGAATCCACTCAAGTAACAATGGATCCAATGATCTCCTTACGGAATTTGTTACAGGACACACTGTAAGATACATATTGTGTATGAACCTTTTCTATACTTGTCAGATTACTCTGCTTCTCTCCATCTTCTCCCCCACCCATCCCCACATTAAAAAAAAATCCCTCTCCAGAGAACAGGCTGAAGGATGCTGTCTTTCCGTATAACGTCTTTTTCAATTTGGGAGTATCTGGCCTTTGCTTGACAGCTCTTTGTGATGGTGGAACTGAGATTCGAGAATTTATTGGGTTTATTGGAATCTTAGATGAAGGGATTGTGACTTGTAGCAATAGATGGGTGGGTTGGCTATTGTCCTAAATTATATTCCACCACTCTTCCATGGCGCTCTGTGTTGCTACTCTATCTTGCCACCATTGCCTCCGCTCTGCTCCCCTCGGCTCTTTGTTGTGATACCTCTCCGTTACCCTCCAGGTTTGCGTACAATTGGAGTCATCACCAAGCTGGACCTGATGGACGAGGGCACGGACGCTCGCGACATCCTGGAGAACAAGCTGCTGCCATTACGCCGCGGTAAGTGACACGAGAACATTATCCTAAACTGTGGAGCGGAGGAGTAGGCCATTCACCCATCAAATAGAAAAGCATTTAGTTTCCACTGAATTATTACTATTGATGGATAGGGCGATATCTTATCAGTATTAGCTCCAAGTTCAAAACTGGCTGTGAAGGTGCGTTCATCTCCCCTGAGGAACAACCAAATAAAAACAGTCAATTACTGAATATCATTGATCATGACATGGAAACAGGCCCTTTGTTTTAAATCACTTGGCCGGGAGCCTGAGAAAAGAAGTGAAGAGAAAAAATTACTGGAACAAGAAGAGAAAATGATCAGCGACCTTCATGCCACACGAGAACTATAAAGCTCTGTTGACTGACTCTTCCTGTCTTCTCCTGTTAGGTTACGTTGGAGTGGTAAACAGAAGCCAGAAGGATATTGAAGGCAGAAAGGATATCCAAGCAGCCCTGGCTGCTGAGAGAAAATTCTTCCTATCGCACCCAAGTTACAGACACATGGCAGATCGCATGGGGACACCTTACCTTCAGAAAGTCCTCAATCAGGTAAGACTGCTCTTAATTACATTGACTTAATGACTGATCTTGATTACATTAACTGACACACATCAGGTATGACCACTGTATATTGCAATAACCAACATATCGTGGAGTCCTGTAGCTCAGTGGTAAGAGCATGCACCTCGCAAGCAAGAGACCTGGTTTCGATTCCCGGCAAGGCGAAACCTTGCTCCTTACTCCACAAGCCTGATAATAATCCCTCAAGAAAAAAAAACAATAATAAATTGGTCATTTCATTCCACGACTGTTTGTGGGACATTACCTGCCGTGTTTCACCCACAAATATAGAGTCAATTCACTTTACATTATATATTTTGTGAAGCGCTTTGAGACATCTGGAAGATATGAAAAGCACTATATCAAATACAAGGATTATTATTATTACAGCAACTCTAGCAACACTGGAGCTAGTTGCTGGTTGAGACTTTGGCAAGATCCAATGTGTTAAGGGTTGTCAAATACCTCCTCATTTGACTCATCACAGAAACTTACATGGACCAGCTACAGAGTAGATTAGGATAATGTTAAGGTATCCCCGTAGCCCTCTCTCCCTCCGGTTTTCGTTAACAGCTCACCATATTGTCCGGTTAGTTAAATAGACAGCTTCTGGCTAAGCAACCATTCTCTTTGCCAGCTGACATATGTGCTGTGAGCAAAGGACAAGAGGACAGAGGTTCAGGAATCTAAAGGGCAATTTCATGACTGACCAGGAATTTTTTCTTTACATAGAAAGTATTTGATAATTGCAACAGGTTGCAAGGAAGGGCATGGATTAGGGTAAGGAACTGCTTGATGCTGAAGTGGGAGGACAGAAGACTGCGTATTTTGGAAGGATGCATTCAATGGGCCTTACAGACCTTCATCCGAACCTCTCATTCTTTAATGCATTTCCATTCCTAGACAGTGAACGATGGCAAGGGAGGATGACCTCAACACAGAAGCACTTGTCTGTAGGGGCATTGGATGATGACAAGGGGCAGATGTTTTTCCTCCCTTGCTCAGGAAAACAGAGGCCAATTATAGTGTTGCAACAATCATTGCCTCAGCCAGTGTTGGTCGGTAATTAATGCCTCTGCGTCTCCATCACCTTCACAGCAACTGACTAACCACATCCGAGAGACACTGCCAGCCCTTCGCAACAAACTTCAGAGCCAGATGCTCTCCATCGAGAAAGAGGTGGAGGAATACAAGAACTTCCGGCCCGATGACCCAGCCAGAAAAACCAAAGCCTTGCTTCAGTAAGTCCTGTTTAGAAACAAATATACAGTCAATTCACCCACAAAATACACAATCAATTCATTTTACAGTGTATTCTATGAAGTGCTTTGAGATGTCTTAATGATGTGATAAGGCGTTATATCAAATGCAAGGAATATTATTATTATTAAATTGGCAGCATTCATTTGGGCAAACTGAATTCCTTTAGAGTACAAAATTCCTCCTCCACTCCCTCCCCCACCCTCCCCAGATAAAGGGAGTTGTTTCTCTGGGAGAAGTGTCCAGTCTTAGTCGGTAGCAGTCTAGTCTTAGGGACAGAAAGATCTGTTTAAACCCTTGCATTGGGATTTGAGTTCATAATTTAGGCTGACGTTGTCGGAGATGCCACTCTTTGGATGAGATGTTAAACTGAGATCACGTCAGGCTGTTCAGGTGAAAGTTACAGATACTGTGACAATATTGAGGAGGGAGTTTTCTTTATCTCCTGGATTTCCATGGTAATAATTCACGGTAGAACTACAAGTCTTCCCTTTCTCTTACAATAATAAGAATAATTTGGTCAATCAATCCACGACAGTTTGTGGGACACTGCTGTGTGCAATTGGTTGCCACGTTTCGTTCACAATATATAGTCAATTCACTTTACAATATATTCTGTGAAGCACTTATTATTATTATTATTATCACATTTGCTGTGATATTGATGGAAACCTTCATGAATGGACAGGATGGTGCAGCAGTTTGCCGTTGATTTCGAGAAGCGTATTGAGGGCTCGGGAGATCAGATCGACACCTATGAGCTATCGGGTGGAGCAAGGATAAACCGCATCTTCCACGAGAGATTTCCCTTTGAACTTGTCAAGGTAATTCCAGACCAAGCCTATCAAATATGGCAAAATGTTGGCTAGTGCAGACTCGATGGGCCAAATGGCTTCCTTGTGCGCAGTAAACAGAGCTGTGGGCAGACTAGACGTTGATTTGTAACCCAGATGTTGTCCTCTCCAATAGATGGAATTCGATGAGAAGGAATTACGACGGGAAATCAGTTACGCCATCAAGAACATCCATGGAATCAGGCATGTATCTCCATCAATCAGGCTGCTCTGCTTTTCTTTTCAAGGGGTTTCACTCTTCGCATTCTTCCCAAAAAGACACAATATAATCCAAGTTACTTTATTTTCTCAGTCAAGTATTCCCAATTCCTGTTCTGCACCACAGAAGTAGGTCCAGAGATGCCAGAGATTGAATCCCTGTCCTTTGCCGAGCTAAACTGCTCATACCCAAGGCTCAGCATCCCTTGGGTTGATGACGGGAAAGACCACACAAGGTTCCTGCTCCTGGTCACTAGCTAGGGAACCATCCTGCAGAAAGGTGCATGTGTGTGAACTTCGGGTGAGCACAGGATGGAGGCTCAGCTCCGATGCTTCCCCATGAACAAAGGCTCATGCATTATAATGGCCACTAGTCGAGGTCCTGGTGAGTTTCTTGTACCTTTGGATCCGAACCCTAGCAGAAGGTTTAATAAAAAGAGTCCAGTACATTCAGGAGAGGAGGAGAAAGAAATATTGATTAACAGGGAGGTTTCTGTGTGTGTGTGTGTGTGTGTGTGGGATGGGGGGGTGGGTAAAAATATTGGAATAAAGAACATTATCTCTAATACCAGTGGATCTGGTCTGATATTCACATTTCTAAGATTCCACAAGATGTTGGCTGTACGGCTGGAAGCTGTGCACGGAGGCATTAGTAATGCTCTTGCAAATGAATGTCGCTTTCCAGCTCATCCCGTGGTGAGCTGAAGCGTAGGTTGCTTTATCTTGTCACCAAACGGCCGGCCGTTGGCACCCGCACTGGAGCCTGCCAGCACTGGCACACAGGTGCCCGTCAGTATATACTGCTTCTCCAAACAGCAGCATTTCAAAATGCCTCCAGCAAATGGCAACGGAAGGAAGTTGCTCGTGCCAAAGAGCAGCTGTTCTGTGGATGGCTGGAGTTTGTTTTCATACTCCAATGAAACATTCGCAAAAGTATTCTTCAGACGGGATATTAGGAGTGATCAGGTCAGTTGGTAAAATCCACTGACAAGATACCAAAAAGTCTGAACCAAGCTATTGGGCCCAAGTTTAATCCTTGACCTGTGCTGAGTTACATGATCTCAGATGGGTTTATAATTGACGTAAGTCCCCCTGCGTTGAAGAGACAAAATCAACCAGGACTCTGCACTTCTGATCGCAATGCAGTTCTCCCCCTGCTGGAAGGTGTTTGTGCTTGTGGGGAATGGGGGGAGTTGGGGGCGATGGGGGATGATATTTTACAGCTTACCTCACCACTGAATGGAGATGGAGTGAAGCCAAGAGAAGGTAATGGGGTGTGGGGTGGGGGGCGGGGGGGATAAGAAGAGGTGAAGTAAATGATTTAGTGTCGAGCTTTACATTTTGATATGTCCCGAAAGACTCAGTTGCCACTTTTTATCGCAGAAATTCCAAGCAATTTCAATCTAAGATGGGTGAAACTTCAACCCATTGAGTCCTCCGATTGAGACTGTCTTGAAAATATGGTATGAAGCATTCTAGCCATTGCTGTAACTAGTACCAAGAGAGGTAAAGGGATTGCAGCCAAACAGATAATGCTGTCAATTTGGTATTTTGCGTGTTCTTCCTGAAACACAAGACACTGTTTATTGCACATCTTTTCTGAATCAATTCCCAGCCTCTCTTTCTTGCTCTCTCTCTCACGCTCTCTCTCTCTATATCCCCACCGGAGCTCTGCTGTAGTTTGCAAGGAGCTTTAACCTTCAGCCAACAATCTGTCTCAGAGCTTTTTAGCTTATTTCTCAGCAATTGACTAAATGCTTGTGTTAGTTCTCCTACTTACTCTACCAAAATCAATGGCAATTTTTGTAAATCTGCTTTTAAATTTCTCCAATTCAGTGAAATCAGACCACCTTTTCAATTCTCTCCAGATATAATATTACTTTGAATATCTGGTAATGTTAAGGTGAATTTCTTCTGGGTGCTTTTGGTATCTTATCTGTCAAGTCTTTTCTATAATGAGGGTCCCAAAACTGGACACAATACTCCAACTACAGCCTAAGTAATGTCTTGTGCAAGTCCTCCTTCTCTGACTTTTCGTCCTACTTTTAATGGAAAAGGGTCTTTGTTTAAGTACCAGGAAAATCGAGGACTCAAGGGGTAGAATTGACATCCACTTTTCTCGGGATGGGAATATTCTGTTATTGAACATTCCTGGTTTCATTTTGTCTCTAATGTTCTAACCTTGTCCTTTTTTTTGTTAAGTATTTATGTTGAATGCTTTGCTTTGACATTTTTCCTCACTCGATAGAACGGGGCTTTTCACCCCTGACATGGCATTTGAAACGATTGTGAAAAAGCAGATTTTGAAGATCAAAGAGCCCTCCCTGAAATGTGTGGACATGGTTATAACTGAGTTAATCAATACAGTTAGGCAGTGTACCAAAAAGGTAATTTTCTTGAAGCACGAAGTCCTGAACAATAAAATCATACTGCCTGCAAATCGATCTTAAATAGCGGTCCTCAGGAAGGGCTTTGGGTGTTTGGACTTAAATATAGTAAGCAATTTGGCTGCAAGTTTTGTTACTATAGTATCTGTCATTCTGTGTCTGTCACTCCTGCCCTGGCAAACGATAGTTTCAGAGAAGGACTGCTCAGAAGATCCTGTGCCTAGCAGGGAGTTGTTCATCTGTACATTTCTCCGCTGTGCTGTACTAGTGTGACAGTGCAATCAAGCTTAACTCTCTTCAATTTGCTCCAAGGGGCTATCGTTTCCCAGGGAACTGTTCTATTTCAGGAACACTCAAGCCAGGGAATGACCTCGACAACCCTTGGTATTCTCTGTTTTCAAGTTAACAGCATAAGATATGGTATAAAAGAAGTTTTTTTTATTGTGAATGGGTATACATTTCCTTAAACATGCAATAGGAGTGAAGGAGTGTCACCAATTTGAGATATGCAAACACAATGGCAGGCATATTTTCATCACTGAACGATGTTGAATAAAGTTTATAGAGTCTGCCTGATTCTCTGAGCAGATTAGTTAGCCATGTTGATTACCATATCAAGTCCAGACATCTATGAATGGCTGTCCACATTCTCAAACTGCCAGCTGGAACATAAAAGGACATAGTGTTGGTCATCGCCACCATTAAAGTAGAAAATGGGGAAGGGGGAGTGAGAGGAAGGGTCTAAATTGGGAACTGGGATAGAAATGCTTACTTAACAGAGCATTACATCCAAACTGTTAGCAGATTATTTGATTTGTTTTAATCAAGTCCTTTGTTTTCAGCTGATGCAGACTTGGGGTTTAAGATGGCAAATCATTGCACCTATGACTATTCTGGTTTCCTGGAGTTTGTAGCTCATTGTGGGGTGGTAACAAGTACCTGACAACCAAGTGTTTAACTATTAAACGATTTGCTCTATCCCCTCTCCTGGCAGCTGAACAATTTGATGGCTTACTCTCAGTTGTGAAGAAATTTGGTGTTGAGAAAGTGACAGGTTCTGTTGGGTTTTCTGTGTCTGACAGTGTTCGCTTATGTTCACTCAGATAAACAGCTTAATGTGGTCAACCTGTGCTAAAACGCCCTGAAACTCAACCACTTGACTTCTGCCCACTCACCCATCATCAGCCAGAACAAATCCTTTCATGAAGTACTGACCGACATGTTTGGAGCTTTTGGACTGAGATCATAGAGGATTGATGGGTAATTAAATTCTCCACCAATTCTCCTGTTGGAGTGGGTGGAGAATATTTTGATCCCTGCCAAATGATTGAACAAATTCAAGTTTGAATTCATTAAAACTATATTTTATATGTTGGGTACTTGTTTGTCAGTTGAAACGTGTGCTGCCCTGGTTTAAAAGCCTTTCGAGGTAACTGAGGTCTTAATCTTCCTTTGCTCTATCCTTCCCATGTTTTCATTCCCATACCTGCTTCTCCCCATCATTTTTTCCTCCTTGCCCTCCTTGTTGTCATTTCCTCCACAATGCAATGCAGAACTGGGCTCTTCACGCCTGACCTTGCTTTTGAGGCTATAGTGAAAAAGCAGATCCAAAAGCTGAAGGAGCCGAGTTTGAAGTGCGTAGATATGGTGGTGAGCGAACTCATTGGCACCATCAAAAAGTGTAGCGAAAAGGTAAAAAAAAGGTCAAACCCTTTCTTTGAACCCCGCCTATGCTCCATTAATTTATTTGATTCTAAATTGAAAACCGGCGCCTTTTTCATTTCTAAGGCAATGCTGACTAAGATTTTGTTTCGTTCACACGTGAGCTTCAGATTTTAGTTTGCTACTCAAGGCGTGTCAGCTGTTGGATTTTACTTTGATATCTACTTTTGGGAGGTTGGAATATGGGGCCTAGGTGCTGAATAATGTCAGTGTAAACTGAGTGAACCATTGAGATATTCTGATATTCAGTTTATTTCCCCTTCCGCACATTTATTATTAATGGGAATTCTGAATTCCTATTTTTCCATTCCTCCTGTTCAGTTTGTGCCAAAACTAAACCATCAAACCTTGTCTTGGGGCTGGTGAAGGGATGGTGTTCAGTGACTAACATGGAAGGGCTACATTCCCTCTCTGGCCCTTCTCTTTTACAGCTGTTAGAATTTAGCCAGGTTCTAGAGGCAATCTCTTATTTTGTAAACGTCTTCTCTCCCACTGCCATAAAAATAAGCTCTGTCCATTCTTCATGTCCTCTTGCACCACTCATCATTCTCAGACCTAGAGGGAGGATGAGCAAACTGTTCCCGGTTCACTGCCTGAGAAACTTGTGTGGGACCACTAGTACCAACAACTTGCATTTCATGCACGGTAGATTCCCAGAGCGCTTGACACTGGTGAGCATGACATCAAGCCTGAGAGGGTAGATTCAGCTACCAGTGTCTCTTTGCTTCCTCAGGGAAATGTCAGGACTTCAAACTCTTGCTCCAGATGGTTTGGATGAGGTTTGTGAAGGCCACAGGCTGAGAGGCATAGCTGAAGGTAGAAAGGGAGCTCCAGTTGGGCAAAACTTATCATTTAATGAGCTGTCTGTAAAGTTAAGTAAGTCTACTGGAGTCCATGTGATGCCATAGTTGCTATCACAATGCAAGTGCAAAATCAGTGAGTGATTCTGCACTGTGGTGCTGATTGGACAGCTCCTGTTCCAGTTTCTTGGTATCTATCTTGACAGACGCAAATTATACAATACAATTATCTGCTTTGTCCCTGCCTTGAGACACAATTAGTGCGGAGTATCAGTTAATGATAGACAGTCATTCTGCAGTGCACAGAATGGATTTTGTATGATTAGTCGACTGTGGCATAACAGGAGGTTAAGACATAGTGGAAGCAGCAACTAATAATGCCCAGAGCATTGAAGGTTGAAAATACAGTATTTTCAACAAATAGCAACTTCTACTGATAACTGGGTTGGATGTGAGTCAGACCCTTTCCACGAAGCAGCGTGTCCCTGGCTTGCATTGTTCTGCATCTGGTTACTGATAGTCACAGTGTCCGAGTCCGTTTAACGAACGATGATGCTTTCAACCTCGCTGTGCCCCTGAAATGGGAAAATGTTTCATTTCCCAGCACGAGCACCTGTAATTTTTTTTTTACAAATGCCCATGAAACCTGAGGCCAGTCTTACATTACACAATATATCCAGTTCATTTGTACATGCTCTCAGTCTTTTGTATTTATGATGTAAACAAACACTGAGCTGGATTCTGCACCACATTCCTACAGGTAGGATATTAATTTTTCCTGGCACTTTCATTGAGGAGTTTGTGTCCTCATAACCACTTCTTCTTAAACTTCTGCTGTATAATGTGCAGCCAGCTCCTGTAATGTATCAATTGCTAGAGAATTAACATCGATAGTTGTAGATTATTTAAAAATAATAATTCATTGATTCACATAGATTTGCATAGACATATACAGCACAGAAACAGGCCATTTGGCCCAACCAGCCCAGTACATTGAAGATCCTCTAAATATATTGATACTACTATGCATTGAGAGTTGATGGAGTGAGTACCGTTCCTCGGTTGGGCAGGGTGAGTGGTCTAGTTGGCATTGGCAGGTTTGTGTTTTCAGGAGTTGCTCTTCTTGGGAGCTGAGACCCAGTTACCTAATTGCCTCTTCATCTAGAAGGCTGTGGAGCTATGAGAATGATACATCAACAGCAGCAAATAGTAACTACACTTTACACTAAGGCATCTTATTCAACGTTCTAAAAAATGCCCCAACCTTATCACTTGGCCTATTTTATCAACAGATTAAAGTCTATGATAAGCACCTAGGTAGATTGGGAAGGACAGAGTTTCACCAGTGTAACCTTCCAGCTGGTATTTCATGAGAAAGCACCTAAATCAGCTCGCTTCTTTTTCTTTCCCATTTTTCTCGGTTTGCAGTCTCTCTGTTTCAAGGCGTCCAGACACGCTCATGTTTTGTTGGCTCGTTCTGCTTGGATTCAGTGATGCACTGATGAGACTCTTGAGTCATTTCATGCTGATATCATTTTCTTCATTACTGTACCGCCTCTTTGCTAAATCTAAAATCCAGAGTGTTTTGAAAGGAAATATTGGCCTTCATAAGATTTTCAGTTGCATTCGCCATTTTGGCAAATGCAGCATCCAAATTTCCAGAGGCACAGTCATTACATTTGTGCTGTGGTTCACTCGGCAGTGTTGCCATAGTAAAGAGGACAAATAAGGCAGTGCCCTTCTTCCGTTAGTCCCAGCTTCTGTTTACGTTAAATTTCTAAGCTTCCCTGCAATGTGCATTTTCCTTACCCAGACCTTCCCCTTAAACCTCAGTGAAGACATCAAAGCCACGAATTATAACCATGAGTTAGCCACCATTTAAGGAACTGTGCATATGCTAATATAAAGCAGGATAGATTCCACTGGGGATTGGTAGTGTTTGCAGAGTTGCACCAGTTAGAAGCATCTGTTGCACTATTGATGCTAAATTAGTGTTTTCACAATGACTGGCAGCCAGCCCATCTCTGTTACAGGTTTAATGCTGAAACTGAGAGTTTGATGAGACCCCCATGACGTGGAGTGTTGCTAAACACTGGAGCATTCGGTGGCATAGCATATACCTGAAGTAGGTTAGTTGATGCTCTGTTCATTTAGAGGGATTTTAGAGAGAGGTTCCTTCTAAATATCCTCAGGCCAAAGCTTTCTAGATCTTATGAAATATTTTTTCTGTAGGGCTTGTAAATGGGGACAAAAATAGAGTGCAGCTGTCTTGTGATGGACCTGGAAGCAGGGCGAAGGAAAGGCGTATGTGAGAACGCAAGACAAATTGACATTGAGCAATAACTTGACCAATGTAAACCAAAGCCAGCAATTGCCAGTATAGGGCAGTGTATAGGAGCCCAGGTTTTCTGCTTGCCTGCCTTGTTCCTTGCCTCTGAGTGCTTAGACCTGTCTCTGGATGCAAAGATGGAAAACTAACTTCATTCTGCAACACTGCCACCATTTACCTCATTGAATGCCAAACAAAAATGCAGAATACAAGAATAATTTTGGTTTTAAACTTAAGCTGAAATCCCATGTGAGGCCAACATTGCCTTTGTACATAAATGTGCTTATGTCTATTATCTGTTGTCATTTTCCTACACTGTATTACTAACTTCTTTGTCTGCCTGTGCAGTTCTGAGTGCTGCTCTTTATAATATGCCTGCTGCCTGCTTGCATTGTGATTTTTCTTTGAAAGAAAAAATGCTTTAGTACAGTATTGAAATGAGTGGGAACACGTATTGCTGTACAGTACTGCATTAGTTCAGAACACTCAATTTCTACATGTGGTCATTAAGGCCTAGATATAGTTTTGGGATGTTCCATGAGTATATCATTTCAGTAATGTGTTAAGACATTATGAACTATCTTAACAAATGATAGTTTATAATCTGCTATTTTTCCAGTATTCTCACTCCCTCTATCAAAGGTCATTGGCAGCCCATTGTATTTCTCCAAGTGACTGTTCATCATAGTGAGTGCTGGAAGGTTGGTGGTCTGTATGGAATCCTATGTTCTGTACGTATGTATTCCAATGACTTTTGTGCTTATTTGTTGTTTTCCTTCGGGAACCATTAAAATGTGTCTGTATCCTACCAACCTCAATGTTGTTTGAGCGAGGCACTGGTGGTTTGAATTAAAAACCATTGAGTTAACAATAATTATTCCATTTCAATGCTAACTTTTGGCAATTCCTATTTCTTGTGCAAATTATGTCAATGAGCTCTTTTCACTGTGGTTTCCAAGAAAAATATTCCACATTCTGTTACCGTAGATTCTAAAATAAATGGATCTCAATGATTTGGTTATATGAAAACTTTATGAATATGTTAATCCCTCATCTTAAAAAAAGTGTTAATGATGGGACCCACACTATCTATGGTTCTATGTACTTATGTTCCTGTGACCCAATTTTCCCTGTATCCTAAGAAGATATTGCATCACAAGACTCGGGTTCACACTGGACCTAACCTGATTGACTTTGACTCAATGCAGTAATGTACTTCAATCTGCTCCTGTGTTGTGCGTTGTGTGTTCTGCGTTTGTGGGGAAGTGCATTGGGATGTTTTCCACCTGTTTGCCTGGTTCTTTGTTACAGTTGGGACAATACCCGCACTTGCGGGAAGAGATGGACCGGATCGTGACCACTCACATCCGGGATCGGGAGGGAAGAACAAAACAACAGGTATGGAATCTGCGGTGAATTTCCTGTAGGTTTTCATAGATCGGCCCGGTATTATGGGAACAATTTTGTAAGCCTTGGATGATTGGGTGGTTTATTTATAAGTACCTAATCAAAGAAAAAATAATTCTGTTTATTATTGATCGAAAACTTCAGATCTGATTGAGATGTAGAGGGTGCAAAGAAATAGGCATCGTTGCGTTGTCAGAGAACTAACTTCTGTACAATGAGGCCATGAAATAGAAGTATTTAATGGCATCCCAGGTAAGAAGTTGGGTAGTGCTGTGATGAAAACGCAAACTCTGTCTGATTGACACAATATAAGGAAACCCTAGAGGCAGTGCAGAGGAGAGCAACGGGATGAGCAATGGGGATGGCGAGTTAATGTAAGGCAATGTTGATAACCTCTAGAAAGTCTCCAAAAGAGATTGATTAGAAGAGACTTTCTAGAGATAATCAACATCTGGAATGGGTGACCAGCAATGCGGATATAGGGCAAAACATTGGAATCAGTTACCAATAATTAAATCAATGACCATCCAACTCTGGTTTTGACGCCTGTCAGCATCGATGAGAATGTTCAGATATCACATTGTGAATTTGCTCCCCATTAATAATTGCGTGTAGTGACTGTCTGCTTTAGCTTTCCACGTGCCTGTTAAGTAGTTGGCACAGTCTCTGCTTCTTTTTCTCCTGTAGGTTATGTTGCTGATAGACATTGAGTTGTCCTACATGAACACAAACCACGAGGACTTCATTGGGTTTGCCAAGTAAGTAAATATTGTGTGTATAAGTAGCGTCAAGGTAAAACACTCACTCCTTTACTCTGGATATTTTGTGTAAATGTTGATATTGAATCTGTATAGATATAGCTGTTACATATTTAAAAGTAAATTTGTGTGATGATTAGACAAACTAGGGCACTTCAGTTTTGAGAGAAGTCGTCTCAGAAAGGAGGGACATCATAAAAGTTTATAACATTTTAAATGGGATTGAAAATGTAAATCCAGAACATTGCTTCAGGGTGCACCAAGTCAGGAGAAGAAAAGAACACAAGTTTCGATTTGCAAAGGACCGTTTCAGGTCAGAGATCAAGCAGGACGTTAGCCGGAGGCTGATTAAAGATTGGAACAGGTTGCCGTAAAGGATGATTGAGGCTAGAACTCATTTAAAAAGCAGCTTGATGCTTTGATGGGAGGACAGAAAGGTGAGTATTCTGGAAGAATGAAACCAGATGAACTGAAGAGCCTTCTTCATCCAAACTAATCTTGTGATTTGAAATATGAAGGGAATTTGGCTTCTGCAGAACTTTACAGTAAGTGGTGTTTTTCCCTCCCACTATGGTACCCGGAAGATCCCATTCGGTATCATTATTGCAATGGTGCTGAGTATGTGTGGACTTGGTATTGTAGAATATTACTTATGGATCTGACTCTAACATACACATATACATAGAAACAGGAGGAAGCCATTCAGCCCCTCGAGCCTGTTCCGCCATTCTATAAGATCATGGCTGATCTGTACCTCAAGTCCAATTACCTGCCCTTGCCCTGTATCCTTAATACCCTGACCGAACAAATAGCTATCCACCTCAGTCTTGAAGATATGAATGGATCCAGCATCCAAGAAGAGGTGTAAGTGTGTTTCCTCTGTTCAAATTTGCCTGTTGTGCAAATCTCACACAAGTTTCCCGTGGGTTATAGGAAGGCGATTTTGTGAAAGACGCATGCACTAAATTAAAAACCTTTCAACATTGGACATTGAGGGAGCCCCTGATGGAGCCCACACCTCTCGCTGTCCAGGCTCACACGGGAAGCAATTGCCCTAAGGTTCAATGAGAGTTGTGGCCGCTGGAACTATATCCCAGTAAAAGTTTCCATCCTTTTTAGAGAGATGAATAAGGGGGAAAACTGAGGTATAAAAAAAATTGCAAGAGGCTTTTCTTAATTGTACTGGGAATGTTTTGTGTGTGTTACAGTGCCCAGCAGCGCAGCAGTCAAATGAACAAGAAGAAGACATCAGGGAACCAGGTATGAGACTGGGAACCAATGCTGACTCCTTATCTTGACTGTAAACAGTCTCTTCTCTGCAACTCGATAGATGGACAAAGTACTTCCTTCATTGGCCTGTAGAGTCCAATTATTTTTTAAAACCAAGATACTCCAGGGAAGTGGAGTTGAAGTTATTAGACATTGGCCTTTTGTTTCTAGGACCTGGTTGTGAATCTAGCTCAGGCATTTGCATCCAAGTCCTCTCTGTATGTGCCTGGAATGGATCTGTGTGGAAATCTCAACCCAGTTGTCAACGACCGTGGGGGCTCGCAGTGCAAAACTACCATTAACTCAGCATCAACTTGTCAATCTTGCTCAAAGAGGCTGCAGTCCAGTTAGTGCGGGTAATGGAAATGCCACATTGGTGGAGTGCAGGGCCAGGATGCTCTTCTGAGGATGAGGCACAAGTATTCTGACTCTAGTATTCGTTTGAGTGCCTCAAAACATGGCAACGTGTTCCATTTCCTGGCACTAATATCCCTTACCTTGATGAGCCCCAAATTCATCAAATGAAATAGAAGGATTGCTGCTGGATTGTCAAGGATTTTGTTGAAATTACCAGGCCCTGGTACACTGTGAGCTATACCAGGCACTGTGAGCAGAGCTTAGCAAAATATCACACCCATTTGTCCAAAGGCACACTTTAGACTTTAAACTCTGTGCGGAATAATATGCTAATAAAGGTATGGCCTCAACAAGGGATGGAAGGGGAAAGGAATATGGTGTGTATGTCACCACAAGCTTTCCTTCTCCTTCAGTAAGCTTTGTTTTTGGTACCCTTTCTCATTATAATAAAGCCTATGAAAGAACGAAATATGATAAACCTCAGCAATGAGTGACCTCAAACCAAGTCCGTAAATGACTTATTATCATGTTTAAAACACTCAGATTTAGAAAATAAATTTCTTCACAGCACCATTTATTGAGGAAATGATTTTTGAGTGATAAATCACGATAACCCTGTTACCGTATAAACCAAATCAATAGTCGTGAATCATTCTAGCTTGACTGGGCTGAGAAGTCTAATGTTTACCGTGAATGGATTTTACTGCATGCGTCTGTCACCTGTTATGATAGAGTAATAATCATGCTCATTTATTTCCTTCCTCCCTCTATTGAACCCTACTCCTCTTGCTGCTTCTCTGCTTGGCTTCTTTGCATCCGCTATGGTTATTCTTTGAAGGATGAGATTATGGTGAGTACATTGTAGCTGGGTGGACACAGGTTTAAGCACTGGACCTGCATCTGGGTTGGTGATGAGGTGTCCAAATTGGAAGCACAAGTATTACTCTTCTGACTCCAGTATTCGTTTGAGTGCCTCAAAACATGGCAACGTGTTCCATTTCCTGGTACTGATTATTTCCTGGAACTTGGTTCTTGGTTTGCATATGCTGAGTCAATCTTTGAAGGCAACAGGGAGTCTCAATCCAGCCACAGAGAAGGTGGTTTGAAAATTCTTTTCTTCACCGCGTCTCAAAGGCAAACTTGATCCAAAAAACATTTAGCCATTTTTCCCCACCATCAAAGGCCAGCAGAGTCAGTACTCCTGCACATAACGAATCAACATGGTGAACATGCCGGGAAACAAAATACCTGCCACTTGTTTTTGTTGCATATACCCTTTGCGCTCTAAATTTACATAATCCAACACAAATTTAAATGGATTTATGTATTTATTGTAAAGATGTATATATCAACTGTATGCTGCCCTCGTGGGCAAACGGGCTGCCCAAAGCAGCATTAGGCCATATGGGCTGGAGGTCACAGATTTGAATCCGATTTGATCTGAGTAGAATTAGCCCTCTCCTCATCTCCCCTCAAATTTTCTGACAACATTCGCTGTCAAAGCTCACACATGAATAATAGACACGTGAGCAAAGTAACGGAGAGTGTCCATCATCAGCGCAGCAACACGACTTGCATTTATATAGCACCAAGAACACCTCGGAACATTTCACACGGACAGTGTCAAATCAATGGTCAGATAATATGATAGAAAATTTTGATCCCTTTTGTAACAAGTTGTCTGTCGTTGGAAGCAAAGTCTATTGGGATATTGATGCTATTTTTCTTTCTGGTAACCACTGACCTGACCCAGATGAATGTCTTCTTGACTGTGTTCTATGCGGACGTGTTATGTAGCTCAAGTTGAATGTCTTTGGCTCTCTCGTTCCTCTATGCTGTTGCATGTTAGTGTTGTCTTCACCCTCCCGTTCTAGCTTTAGCTTCCCATAATCTTCCCTGACCTCTTCAGTTTGGACCCGTCCCTCTGCCCCACTTCCTCCAACCTGGTGTGTTTTCCATAGAGGTGTTTTTAAAGGTTCGGTGTCAATCTGAGTTTTGTCATTAGGAGTTTGTAAATCCAAGTTGATCTAATTTGGATCAAGTGGGTGAAGTTTCCTGAAATGTAATTCGGATTGGTTTATCATATTGTAAAAAAAACGATGCCTATTGGGGTGATTTGTAGCAGTCATACTTTTGCCTAAAAATATTGAAAAGTTCCTCCAAACTTGGCTTAAAGTCGCACCTTCTCTACCTCAGCAGATCATGCCCTCCATCTTGTGGACCTTATGTCCACTTTCTTTTCCTCATCTCCAGGAAAGGGCACACCTTTAGATGGTTTCTCTGCTCCTTCAAACAAATTCTAAAAAAAAACTTTGTTTGCTTCTGTTCATTTTCCAATCCACAAGGAAGTTTCTCCCCCAATACAAACATGAGTCTTGTGGACAGATTGAGTTTGAGAATGTTATTCCATCCTGGGAGAGGAGCAAGGACTCTTCACTATTCGATCTTCACTCTCACTCCTATGATAAATGATGGCTCTTGAGCCTTATTAGATTCTACCAATCTGTGTGTGTGCGTGTTTGTGTGTAAATATATATTTATGTTATAGACACACACAGACGCACACACAGATATAGAATTATTTTACTTTGAAATATGAGGAACAGGGTTAGATTTAATGAAATGTTTTTACCAAATAAAAGCTTGACGCTAATTTCACAGTGCAAAGTCCACAAAAACCCAGGTCTCTGCCGGCAAAAAGTACAGTGAGTTTTGCAGTTGCTTCCTGTCTAATAACATTCCTTCTTCCATTCCTGCTAGGTGATCAGGAAGGGCTGGCTCACCATCAATAACATTGGCATCATGAAAGGAGGCGCCAAGGAATATTGGTTTGTGATGACAGCGGAGAATCTCTCCTGGTACAAGGATGATGAGGTTAGTACTGTACAAACATTTGCCTTTATCCTGGTGGGTGGAGAGCAGGTCCTGTTTACACTGGCAGTGTAATGAGATCATTTTACTTTCCTGACTTAGTATCCCCTGAGTTGCTCTTAAAGCAGTTCTCCTGCTAAGCCAAAAGTTGACCTGGCATCCAGACGGCAGGCCCAAGTAAAACCTCAGGCTCGATTTCAGATATGGAGGATATCTGAGGAGGAGAGGGGGAGAAATGAAGAGCAACCAGTGAAGGAGGGGAGGTGAGGTAGCAGTGAAGGAGGGTTACGCAATTGATATTATTCTGTGCTCCCCTTTTGCCAAGGAATGCCCATAGTCAGGTCCAAAAGATGCTTGAGTTTACATCCACAGCTGGTGTTTGTGTTTCACATTGGGATTAAAGAAAAGGATGACTTGGAGAAACAGGGAATAGCAGTACAGGCATAATATGGATTTATATATTTATATTCCGGGGGAAGCCAGATTGGATTAATGATACCAATAAATTGGATTTAGACAGCAACATTCATAAAGGGTGATGTCTCAGAGCGGTTTTACAAAGATGGGATAAAATGCTGAGTGGGAAAAAAGGAGGAAGGGGGAGGTGGCCATAGGTGCATTCGAAGAGGTAGATTTTAAGGCAGGCTTTAAAGACGGATAGAGAGGGGGAGCAATGGAAGGGTAGAGTTCCAGAGATTCGGGGCGTAGTGACTAAAGGCTTGGCCTCTGATGGTGGCACGGAACAGGGAGGTGACATGTAGCAAGCACAAGCTTCCCAAGCAAAGGGGGTGAGCAGAGAAGTGGGATAGGAGCAGATCAGAGAGATAAGAAGGTGCCAGGATGTGGTAGGATTTATAAACCTTGGAATAAGAAAACAAAGATTGCTATTTTCCTCCCCGGATTTCTAAATTGGGAGCAACTTGATCTTTTGGTAACTTCAGGCCTCTGTTTCAGCATCTGTTTCACAAACAGATGTGAGCCACACTGGGCTTGGGTTTGGTCAGTGGTTTGCCTTGTGACTTGTGGAGGCTCTTGGAGGCTCTTTGCAGAAAAAGGAAGTCATTCGATGCTTCTGGCTCCATCTAGTGGTTTCCGAAGTAGAGGTTGACTCTTTACAGATCAGAGAGGATGGGATGGAAAAAGGCCATTTGGCCCATCAAGCCCGCTCCCTCCATATTCCTGGCAAAACATGTAACCCATCATGGGTTTCATCCAATCCATTTGTAGATCTTGATTGAAAGTTGCACCTCTGCAAGGATCTTATCGAGAAATGTAAGATACTAAATGAGATTGAGAACTATGCTTTCAGTTGTGCCAAGCAGAAGAACACAAGGGCACAGGTTCAGGGGTGTAATGAGTAATTTTAAGACTTAAGACCAGGAAGTGTTTCTTTCCACAGAGGGGAGCGAACACCTGGAATGGGATATCAGGAATGTTGGTTGAGACCAAGATAATGGGCTAATTTAAGAAAAACCTCAATGCTATAATGGGAAGGTGATACAGCTGCTGATAATAATAATATAATAATCCTTGCATTTGGTATAGTGCCTTATCAGGTCATCGAGACGTCTCAAAAGCAGCTATAGGATATTGTATAAAGAGGGGTAACTGTATTTTATGGACAAAACGTATTCTGGAAAGAAGAGATCAAATGGGTGATTTTAATCTTGTGAACAATAACTCTCTACGAATGTTTACAAACTTCTAAGTTCCCTCACACATATGGCAGCGATGCCCTCTTCAACTCAAGCCTCTCTGAGACCTCTTAAAGTAACTGGTCCTGGAATGACAACTGGTAGCTTTTTCTTGCCACAGAGTTCGTTCCCACCTCAACTGTGTACTTGTGAAAGTTTTCAAACTAGCACATACGTGAACTTGCTTACACACATGCTAAACCCCAGATTTTTGTACATGCATACACACTTACAGATGCACACACTTACTCATGTGCACACACACACTTACACATCCGCACAGTTATTCACACTTACGTGTAGACTGTTTAACACCTATGCAAACACCTATACATATATATACAAACGTGGATGCATGTTTATGCACAAGTCCAGACACGTATAGATATGTGTACAATTGTGTGTGTGTGTGTGTGTGGATATGTGTATATATATATTTATATACGTGTGTGTACACTTAGCACTTGGGAGTCTGCTACAATGAGGAATACTGTTTTCTTTAAATGGTAACAGATGTTGGCAATTGGAGGGTTAATGGAAAAGTATGCACTTTTTTGTCTATAATTGTACTCTTCAGCATGCCAGTCATTTGCCTAGTTCTGTTGATCTATCGAATACTTCTACATCTGCAGGAAGTCACTACTGAGCAGTTTAATGAATCCAGATGTTATGGGCCCACACGGCTTGTGTGCTAATGCAAGTCGACAGGCTCAGAGCGAAGGGAGAAAGAAAGTGAGAACTGAGGATGGAGGTACAGAGATAAAGAGTTTTAGAAAGGGAGCAATTAAGAGTGTGTTAAATGCTCAAACATAGAGAGGGAGAGAGAGAGAGAGAGAGAGAGAGAGATAGAAATAAAGTGCAAGCAGGCTGGATTGAGGATAGGGATGTCAGGTCAGGAACGCTCCCATTTCCTCTCCAGCCATATGAGCTTTAGCCATCCCTCCCCTTCCCCCCGCCATTCCAAACCACATGTTTCTGGGGAAAACATGGGGGAAAGACTCAGGCGATCAGAGACTGGCAGCAGTCACGTCACTTAACAGTTCCTCCTTTCTCCTCCCCTCCTGATCCGTGTTCCCCCTGTCAATGTACGGAACAGGCGTGCACTCACAACATGGAACTGGCACGTGTGCGCAACACGGAACTGGCATGCACACCAATGAGGAACAGGCACTCCCGCACAACACATATGTTCAACGGGTACATACGTGCCACACGGAAACAGGCACACATACAGTTCATTTCGGCATCTCAAAAGCACTTGGAGGATTAATATAGCACACCTGATTTTCTCCCCTCTTGTCTCTAGCCCAGGGGAGCTGAATCCAAGTCCCTTATTACCATCCTGGCTGACATCCACTAACCTAGCAGAAACAACAGGCGGGTGGGGTGGGGGTGGGGGCTTGGGGTTGAATCTGAGACTTTCCTGTTCTGTGGCAGGAAGGGGGTAGGGGGAGGCTAATTCTCTCTTTATTAAAAGAGAGTTCTCCACTTCGATATTATCTGTAACCTGGGTTTCACTGTATGTTTGAGAAGCTTTATTATTCCATTTGTGATAAGGTTGAAGGGGTTAAGCAGAATGCTTCACATCTGTGGCCCATAAGGAGTGGGGGGTTGGGGTGGGGGGTCGGGTGGGGGGGATTAGGTTTTTGACATTCATCTTCATCATTGGGATAGTTTTATAGACTGTAAGGAAACAGCAGGCAGCAAATGAACTCCAGCTGAGGAGGGCCCCTTTCATCTCCACTACAAAGAACTCGGTGACTGCGAAGCTGAACATACTAAGGGGTTTGGGTGATATTCCACCCGACTTTTCCTCCCCTCCCTCCTCTCGACTGCCCCCCTGCACAATCCTAATTGAGATTGCTCGCGCTGTAGGCCTTTGGCGGACTAGAGGTGTTAAATAATTGGCCGCAATGAAACTGAGACCCACTTCGTCCCCAGCACCAATGCTCTGCTCAGCATGAAATCTCTCTCTCTAGTTGTGGTCAAAGCAAGTCAACTGTTCTGTCCTGTATGTGAAATACTTGTGCGTCACCCTGGCTCAGCTTGTAGCACACTCGCCTCTGGGTCACAAGTTTGTGGGTTCAAGTCTGACTTGAAACTCGTACTTGGAGTCTAAGCTGACACTCCAGGCCAGTGCTGTTGGGAGCACTGCATTGTCGGAGGTGTCATCCTTCAAGATGAGACTATTAAACCAAGGTCCCTTCTGCCCCTTCAGGTGCGTGTTGAAGGTCCCACTGCACTAATCTCTCAGCGTCCTAGCCAATAATCCCCCAAATAAAATTCGGCATTCAATTCATGGCTGTTTGTAGAGCATTGCTGTGGTACAGATTGGCTGCCACGTTTGCCCACAGACTACACACAGTCATTACAATTTACAGTAAACCCCGTGAAGTGCTTTGAGATGTCCTCCTGACGTATGAAGCATGAAACCAAATGTAAGGATTATTGTTATTTAACGACAAACTGTTGGGAGGAAAGTGTTTGGGATTTGGCGAGTTCTCCTTGTTCACTATGGGTGTTCCTCCAACTTAGAAGTGAATTATACAGACTCCTAAGCGTTTAAGGTTCAGCCCATTGTCTGAGCCGCGGAGGATGAAACAAGCCGCATTCCAACCCCCACCACCCCTCCATCCCCGTCGAGGCTCGTCTGAGTTTTCAACCCAGCCTCAGCCTGTGGAAACCATTTTGTCTTCAGATTTATGATAGGGTTGGATTTTGCAAAGGGAAAGTTCTTTCAAAGGACCATGTGCAGGAGAACAGTTATCCAAATTATAGAGTCTTACAGCACAGAAGGAGGGTATTTGACCCATTATGCCTGTGCTGGCTCTTTGAAAGAGCTACCCAACTAGTCCCACGCCTACAAATCTTACCCCATAGGCTTGCAAATGATTCCCTTTTAAATACCGATCCAAATTAAGACTGAATTTAAGAACTTGCTGCGATTTGTACAATTTAAGACCAAAAGACCTCATGTGCAAAGACCAGGTAGAATTTCAGGCTGTTGATCAATGAGTGGTGAATGCTGCTGAGAGTTTTGATGAGCACAAGATCAGTTTGACAGGTACTATATGACTGTGTAGTGTAGTGGGAGAGACTGAGCTGATTTAACCCGGCAAGTTATCACTTCCATTGTTGATCAGGATACTGGCGTCAGGGACAAGATGATGTGTCTGAGCAAAGCTCTCCTACACACGACATGCGAACACTGCTTCAGTAGTTGACCTGTTCGCAGCTATAACACCAAGCACCATTCTTTGATTCTACCTGGTAAAAATAAATAGACCTTTTTTTTAAAAAAAAGAAATA